GTCATCTGTCTCCTCCCTCCGCCATTAATTCTTCCTTGTGACAGATACAATATAGGAAATTATTCATTAGAGTTAGCCGATCGCACTAAACAAGTAATACTTAAGCAGATCCAAACCTTCCTTAAGCTGATCCAAACCTTCCTTAAGCTGATGATAGAAAATTAAGTAAGCTTTAATATTCAACTAAAAATTAACAAACAACACAGTAGCTGATCTGATTAAACAAGTAATACTTAAGCAGATCCATGCCTTCCTTTGCTGATAATAGAAAATTAAGGAAGATATATTCAAACAACCGACCAACCAACAAAACAAGACAGTAGAATAATTGAAGAAATGACAGAGAAAATGAGCAAAACAACAAATTAAGTACGTATATATTATTCAAACCATGATGACGATGAAAAGTTGGAGCACGAGAAGCCTACCCGTCGGATAGGGCTGGATCAATCTGAAAATGGAAATTTGCCCGTCTCCACTTTATATACCTATCTTCATTAAAAAATAATTGGGCTTTTATAGAAAAAAAAATGGGGCTTTTAACTTGTCACATCATCTCCACTAAAGCAACATAAAGTCAAAGTGGGTCTCAAAAATGCCCTGTAAGCAAACATGGACGAAAGATAACGTCCCAGTCAAATAAGGGCTAATTTGCCACTGTTGTCTAGTTCAAGGGTTTGTTTGCCACTGATTTGGGTTAAGGGGCTTATTTGCCACTACCTAATAAGTTTAGGGGCTAATTTACATGATTTGCCTTCAGTTTAATGTAATGTAATTAACAATTCAATTAATTAAATTAATTAGTAATAACTTTTTATGGGACCCACCCGCTCAACCCCGCGTGTCTTTTTATTTTTTATTAATAATTTGATAGAAGTTGGTTAAATACCCTTTTTGGTCCCTCTACTATAAGAAAAAGTCCCTTTTTAGTCCCTGTACCGAAAAAATCCCCTTTTTAATCCTTAAATTTCAAAATCCGACCCCTTTTTGGTCCTTCCGTCAGTTAAGTGACAGAGTGGCACTATAATCTGTTAAATATTTTGTCTTTTTCCTTTTTATTGTTGACATGTTATTACACGTTAATGAATAAAATGCCACGTGAAAAAAAAAATTGATGATGTGGACAAAAAAGCTTTATATGAATAGGTTGTAATATAATTTTTTTTAAAAATCATCATTTTCTTTTTGTCTTTTCATTTCCCATTTCTACTCTTTTCTTCTCCCTAAAAATAATTAACTGTAACACCGTTCATCCTTTTCTTTCTCCTCACCTTATCCTCCTCCTCATCCTCGGCATCATCTTCACCGTTCTTTGCCATCGTCTTCATCATCCTAACTTCCTTGGGAAACCCAGAAACTGGGTTCCTCTGGGTTCCACGGGAAACCTAGAAACTAAGTTCCCCGTGGAATCCACGAGGAGCCCAGATCTGGGTTCCCCGCGGAACCCAGAAACTGGGTTCCTCTGGATTCCACAGGGAACCCAGCTGGGTTCCGCGCTGGGTTCCCCGTGGAATCCACGAGGAGCCCGGATCTGGGTTCCCCGTGGAATCCATGATTTTTTAAAGATTGTTATGTTCACTTCTTCAACGGTTTGTTTGAATGTTAATGCCAAAGATATTTGACGGAAAGAGGATTCTTCATTAGTAACGAGATATTTATAGAGGCGGTGATAATAATTACATGAATACGAAGAAGGCACTGGCAGGCCTCTTTGGTTTGTTTGGATCCTTAGCCGCCTTCCCCGGTTTCTTCCCAGCTTATGTGACGGCTGCTTTCTTATTGACGAAAAGCCTATGACCAAAAGGCGGAACCACATCACACAAACGATAAACCAGAGAATCTAAAAAACTACAGTAACAGATCTGAGATCCAGAAACCGCCATCTGCTGGTTTTTTGATCCCGAAGCAGCAGAAACAACGAAGAAATAAAGAACAAACAAAGGTCAAACGCTGGAAACTTACTTGGAACTCTTGGTGTCTGACTTCGATTTACTTCCTTTCACGTTGGATCCTGCAATCGAAACACCAGATCAGCCAAAATCGCAGTAGAAATCGATACAAAAACGAAAAAAACCGGAGAAGATCAAAGAATACCCATACACAATCGACGAAACGTTTTAACTAAAAATCGAAACAAAACGTACACAACCGAAAAAATTCGAAAAAATACTGATGGAAATCAATGAAACATAGAAGTTAAAACCACGCCGAAATTCGACTACAAAAACAGAAAAAAAAATCGTGGATTCCACG